TTTACTTTAATAGCAACAGAGTACTGTATCTTCCCTGACATTTTCAGCAGGTTCAAGGGAATAAACATCATAGACAAGCTAACAAATCTTGAGATCATTATCAACTTTTGGGAAATAGGCTTGGCTTCAAACACACTTACTTTAGGATTATTGCTTAAAGATGATGATAATATGGAATAATCCTTTTATAAGGGTTGATTATATATATAGAAATATATATAGAGAGAGACATTTCTTGAAAATGTGAATAAGGCTGCAGATATAAACCTATACTTCAGCTACGGAAACTGATAGTTTAAGCTTTAAAACTATAATTCCACATAATATTAAAATTGATTTATCCTGTGGTTTGAAACCTTTTTTTAATACACAAAACATTAATTTACATTTTTTCTTATTATTTAGAAGTAAAGAATGAAGCTAGATCAAGTTATCCAAAATGTTCATTTCAGTTCAAGAATGCAACTACTAATGCACTCGTTGGTGCCAAGCCCACTGAAGGAATCCCGGAACCTGTTCCACTTGTTAATAACCGTAAAGGGAGCCTCTTTCTACCCAACAATCCCTCGCTGCTGCACCTTAACTTGTTGAGCTCTGTTGAGCATGGAAAATCTACCTACTGTAGATTGCAAAGGGCACTCAGTTTGCCTGTAAAATACTGCTATCACCCTCAAAATCCTGGGTTGAACCAAGATCTCCGTAGGTAGCCCCTTAGTTGGATGCATAAGGCAGTACAGATTGGTTTGTGCATGGTTTTACAGTTTGAGTGTTTTCAATGTGAAAATGACATTACTAATGCTCTGTTAAGTGCTTACAGATGTGGGTTTCTTGAGATGTGGTGATTAATAACTTAAACAAGATAGTAACTAATGTTTCTGGGTGGTTGATGTTTTATCTTTCTTATGTTTTATTTGCTTTCAAACACTTACATTCTAGACAATGAGTTTACTAGGTGTTCCATTTCATGAAGTATTTGGTAGCTGAAAGGTTGTTAGATAATCCAGCTCATTTTGGGGATCCACAAAAGGGAAGCACCCGTAAACTATGTTGTTAGTGACCTTGCAGAGGCAATGAAAGAGACTGATGTATTTAAAAAAATAGTAACAAAATAATAAAAGAAAAGTTATGAACTTGTCCAATGTTTCTGGAAGACATTTCCTTTATTTGGCTTAAAAACTAAATGAGGATAAAAGTCAAGTAATATGTTGTTACAGATGTTCGGCTCTGCATTAAGGCTGTTAAAATTACCAGCACATCTTAAATCAATTCACGGAACATTGTCTGGAGGTTATGTCATTGAAATAATGAATCCTTTTTACTCAAGAATAAGAAAACATGTTAGAACATCAGTGTAACTTCAAATTAAACTCCAGCATAAACCAGAATATCTGAAGCCTCATTAGACTTGCCTGACATTTTTCTAGCACTGAGTCTTCCCGAACTGTAAAACTGTTAGATTCTGTGCCTATTAGACAAGCGAGCACTGGGTTGTTACAACAGTACATTAAGTGTTATACTTAGGGATGTGCAAAAACAAGTTTTTGAATTTTATGAGAACTCAAAGGCTGGATTGAGTTCACATTCTATAAAATTCTGTGTTGAATTCCTGAACTTGTCTATACTTTCATGAAAGCTGGTAAAGAAGGTCTGCGTTAATATAGTATGACTATATTGTAATACAACTCCCACAGCATTAAATAAATTGAAAATATTAAAAATAGGGCCACATTCTCATTAGCAGAAGCAGTAGGTCAAATGTATAGCATTAGCGTTCAGTTGTTATATATCACAGCCTGTTACTCAAATACAGTTGTCTTTCATGAAAGCGAGTAAATTTAAGATTCCCTTTTATTTTAATTTTTATTCCTCTCATGCAGAAACAGGAACCATGAAATGAAAATGATATTTTATAGCTTAACTAAAAGTTTTGCTAGATCTACTTTCTTTAAATATACAGGAAATTAATAGAATATATTAAAGCTAATAATTAAATATGGCTTATATCCTACTTGTGACTAAGAATCCACCTGTGAGTTAGCATTGCAACACTTTTGGGAACCAAGCCATAGGTAATGGTCTCCATTACACACCATTTGTATAGTTTCAGACAATTCTCCCCTCCCTCTCACCCCCCCCCCCCCCACAGTGCCACAGTGAAAATAAATGGCTCCCTTGCTTGAGCAAGGCATGGCTTTAGTACAGAAATGAGGTGTCTCCGAGGGCTTTGCTAATAGGTATTAACTTGTGAGCCATGTAACCCTAGAACATTGCAGGTGAACACAGACAGTAATACGGCATAAAGATGATGGGCATTTAATGAAGAAAAGAGCTTGTTTATTGTAGGTACAACACTAAAAGAAACTGTATACTTTGTCAGGAAATCCAGCTGTGGACATCGTCATTCTGGAAGGTAATAATAATAATAAGGCTTAGTTTTACAATTGGCCAGTATGATAGTAACATCTGGTAAGGCTGGAGAAAGCAAATGCTAGACCATGTAGGATGAAAGATCCTCATTGGACTTACCTTTTACATTTGAAACAGCAAGCATAACTCATTTTAACCACCCGAAGGCTTGGGAAAATACTTTTTTATAGCATTTTGCACTGTTAATAGAAATATTTCTGTATATAATATCATTACAGCTAGTCTATATCAAAATAAGACTTTACAAATGCTCCTACTGGGTACAGAGCTTCCTTATACTAGTGAAAAAGGTATAAAAATGCACTCCACTTGTACTATGTTACTGAATTTCTTATAAACGTTTTCTAGCCCCATGGGGGCACATTAATTTAGATGAACTTTGAGCTTTTATTTACTGGCAGAGAGAAACATATTATTTGTAGGTGATTTCTGCAAGCAACATTGTGCATGGTTATTTCCTTTAATCTCTTAAGTGGTGAGTCCATATGATTTGGACTGACTGTTTATATCAAATAAAGAACAAGGGAGTCCTGTGTATGCATTAAAAGCAAATTATTGCCTGTGTAGAATAGCATGTGAATAACTGTTTTTGACAGACAAGTTTAAAACAAGATTACACCATTTTCCAGAGAATGACTTGCCAGAGAGTGTTATGGAACGAATAAAGAACCACACTTTATTATAAGTAGAGCTGGGCAGATACTGCTAAAAAAAAAATTCGGAGAGTTTACAAACAACTGAATAGTGAAGTGATTAAGTTTTATTGCAACTAACTCTCCCAGAAAGTCGGTTTTAAATGTGCACATTTGAGTATTCGTTGAGGAAATGTTTACACTCTTAGCCAATCAAAGAACAGTAATTGCACTATGTGATTTATCTAACAAATCACAAGTAGGCAGTACAGCTAGAAATTTGAATGTCAAATATATAACAAATTTCACGATTATGCTATGGATTTCTAAAACAAAAAATGAAATAGTCAAATATTGAGGAAATTTCATATTCTTTATGGATGTTCTCTAAGCAGAAAAAATGGCTGAATTAGTCCAATAAATTATTTGTTGTAAGTTGATCATAGCTCAGTTCTAATTACAACTCCTTTTGTATCACTCTTTGAGGCTTTTAAAAAAAATCCAGGATTTGTTAGGCAATGCCAGGTCATTTAAGAAGACAGCAATGTTGCCTTTCCAGTGTCCAGTCCTGTAATCTTGATGAAGGCAAAATGAAGTTCCATAACATACTCCGGAAAACAGACAGACATGACAAGCTAGAATGCGGGCTGCAAGAAAATAGTGTCAGAAGAGGATTGTAGCAGGAGGATATTGCTTAATTCATTCTCAGATAAATCTAGAGCAGGTGACATATGTCCAGGTCTGCTTTTTTTCTTCCTATATAGTTCATTGCAAATAGATTTTTTTTCCAGCCGCTGCTTGTGCACTGCTAATGTGTATTAAGCTCCTTTAATGTAGCTGCTACTACTAATCTCTTTCTTTTTATCTTTAAGGTAACAGCTACTTAGGCCTCAGTTACATTGTCTTCTAGTCTGTTTTTCAATTAACTATAGGATGGAAATGAAACTATTTTTCATTCTTGATATTACAGCATTAGTCTGAATTTGAGAAACCACCATTCACAGATGATTCCCTTTGATAGCAAACATAATACTTATGTGTGCTAATTATCAAGTACAGTAGCTGTCCTTTAAACAGTAATGATGAAGGTTAATATTAACACACAACTTATTAGAAAACTGTGCTTGTTTAAAGCAAATAGTGTTATGGTATAGGTAATCCACTGATGTACACTTTACAGTAATCGCAAGTGATTTTACATTTGGAAAATGATCTTTCATTTAAAATGCACTCTGTCCTCATTAAAAGATCCTTTGCTATAACACAACCTCTGTTATACAGGTACTATCCCCACTTCCATTCAACCATACTCTGCTCATTCCTGTTAAAACAGCTCCCCTTTGTGAGAAAGGTGGAGTGATGAGGTCTGAGTTGTGCTGGAGATCTGTGCACAATTGCAGGCAATGTTCACAATCCTGACTAACTGAAACATTAAACATCAAGGCATTGAATATTTTACATCTCTTCGTGAAGATTCTGTTGTCTGGCATGTGAGACGCAAGAACCAATTTGTATGTGGTTCATTAGCAAAAGCAGGCTGGCAGCTATTATGTTGGTATTTCAAATAGCACTTTATCTTTCTGTGTATATAGCAGAGCACTAATTCTACTCTTCAGTAGCACAGATTAATTGAAAATAACTCCGAGAATAACATAAATGCTGTTCCCTCCCACTTTTTTTTGTTTTAAAAGTATGAAACCAATTTGAACTTCTGTGTTCAAAACCCTGGTTTTCTTCCCTTCTCCAGCTCCTCCTCCTCCAAACCAATCTCTGACTAACATATTTGATTTTTTTAAATTTATTTTACTGTTGGGCCTAAAAAGTTAGTAATGAAGTATCAGTGCGTGAATGGACGTTGAGTGTGTGTTCTTTGCTATGTCACTTGTATTTCGTATAGCGCTTAGAGGGGTCCTTAATCTCATGAGTTGCCTCTATTTCCAGTTGAAGATGAACATCCGTCGACACTGTCACCCAAAAAAAAAGCAGCGAAATGGAGGCATGAGAAATTCACCCAACTCCTCGCCCAAACTGATGAGGTAAGACTGTAAGAAACTCATATCTTTATCTTCTTTCCTTCCTCTACACCTCCCCCTCCTCAAAAAGGGGTGGGGGGTTTGAAGAAAAAGGTTGTTAGATGGTTTCTGAAAGGCTAGAAGTATTTATTCTGTCAGCTTGTCAGCAGTTAATGATAGAGCTAAAAAAAATTCTGTCATGAAAAACAGTTTGAAAAGCTGTTTGAAAAATACATAGGCTTTAAAGTCTTAGCTGTCACCCTGTCCTGTCCATGTGTAGTTCTTAAACAGCAGTGGCACTAATGATAGCACTAACCAATCAGAGGAACTCATGTGGTTAGTTTGCCTCAGGCAATTCTCTTTTTGTTGGAATCCCTCTGAGTACTGTTTTCTGTACTTAAGGCCATATGTGAGATGTATCATCACAATCAAAAATGAACCTGAATATTACCTTCCTTTTATCCTGTCGATTGAAATCAAATTTCTGTTAATTGATTTTGACTGATTAAAAAAAAAGTCTAATAATCCATGTACTTGCCAAAGCAAAGTTCAAAACTAATGCAATTTTACTCAGGCTAAAAGCAATATTAATTATGAAATACAGGGATTTTTTTAAGAATAGTACCTACTCTGAAAGTGGATGATAAAAACATCTTTTGGTTGTTAATGAAATTTCCCCACTGTTGTTGGACATATAGTATTTTACAATAAGGGAACCCTCAGATATTTAAGTCATTTCTTTCCATCAAATTTCTCTTTAAGCAAAGGTTCTCTGTAATTGGAATTGCAATTGGGACATTGTACTATATTGAAGCAATATAGCACTTTTATTCTACTTCTCTCTCTGCCTTACCCTTCTCCTGTTGTAGTCAATGGGTGCAGTATCAGGCATGCATCACTTAGCACCTTTCTCTGCTTACTGGAAGCAGCCATGTTCCTCTAACGGCTATGGATATAGCCAGATGATTTTCCCTCTCTACTTCAATCAGTGCAGTGGGAATTTCCTTAGCCAATTCAATAAGCATCCTTTTTCTGTTTATCGTTCCTACAATCTAGGGCATATTCAAGGGCATAACTTCTTTAAGTCTTCTTCATCTGTGTTTAGACTGCAGGACCAAAAGTGAGATTGATTCACTGAAGAAAATGCACCCAGCTGTGTCTTTTTTTTCCCCCCATTGACCATCTATTTCTGTTAAATGTATCGTTAAAAGTTCTTTGCCTTCCTGGTACCTCAGCCTTGCCTCTGTGACACTGATTTACATGCTTGTTTACAGTTTCTGAGGAAGAATAAAATGAGCATACTGCCAAGCTTCTCATTTTTATGACGCCAGTTGTCATGTTAGCATCATTTTCAATTTACTCACCTTTGGGTAATCTTCTTATCTGGCACTAACAGTTTTATCTGTTTAAAGTTTGAAAAATGTGGGAGCTTCCCCCTTCAGCCCCTAAATTTGGGGAAGTAAAACATTTTTTTTAAAAAAGAGAGCTGAAACATTTGTAGCTGAGTGCACTGTCCCTGTTTGCTATGTAAAGTATGCCTCATTTCTTTGATCTTGAGTAATAATAATTCTGGGGAGTTATACTGTTTTCATATGCTTCAAAGCTGTGTCAAAGTTTTGCTGCTTAAGGGTACTTCTTTATTCTACTGGCTCTTGGGTACTGAGATGACAGGTCCTCTGTACTAGGTGCAGGCTTTTTCAAGTCATAGCCTTCAGCAAAACATCAAATTACCAAATACAGGGTAACATACTTCTACACAAATGCCTTTCCTGTAGATATATTATACCATATATATTAAATACTTTAGTGTTACACGGTGCATTTTATGTGCAATAGAAAGTGATGGTTTGAGGTAGCCTTAGGGGTACTTTTTTTCCACAAGCAGAAAAAGCTAGTGTATACCCTATCAAGTATGGTTTTTACAGGACTTTCTGCCCGAAGGCCTTTGTAAATAAGTAATGATCAACAGATTGGCTGTGGGTTTTTGAAAAGCATGCCTGTGTCAGTTTGCATGATGGGGGGAAATTTTCAAAGTGGAGCCTGCTTTCATTGCCTGCCGAAGAGGGACTGAGGGAGAGTAGTCATCCCAAGCTCGAGCTGTCTGCTCAGTAGCACATCAGAATTGCTAAACGTGGGTCGAGCAATGAGTGGAGAACTTGCCAAGCCTCTGAATCCAGACTGTTTTCTTTCTCCTCTGTCTTGCTGCTGAATTTACTTACCCACCCTATGTCCCCCACCCTCACCCCTTTCCCATACCCCCTAGCCTCTCTGCCTTATATGTCAGGAACATAGTGGCAGACTGAATTGTAGCTCAGAGTTCTTAAACCCGAGAAAATGGAATGAATCGGAATAAATATCTATTTTCCTTGCAAGCTGTGCAGTGGTCAAATCCTCCTCTATGCACTGCAAGTTAGGCTCCATTGACTATTTTTTTAATACTTTCATGACTGAAATTGAAATTTCTTGACACCCCCTCCTCCCCCGTCCCCCCGAAGTCTTTGGCTAATATCGATTAGAAGTATACAAAGTTTCCTCCTAGGTAAAAGCACTGTGATGTTCAAAGCTGATACTTTTAAAATATTTTTCTCCTAAGTTTTGATGAAAAGTACTTTGACAGGGCAGATAGGACCCACACTGGCCATAAGGAGGTTGAAGAGAGCCTGTGGGCCCCTGCCCGGCTAAACCTGCAGACAGTGTCACACATGGAGAAGTGAGTTAAAAGGAGGAGACCCAGCCGAAGACGGACCAGGAAGGAGAGCAGAGTTGTGCTGCTTCCTCGGCGAGGGAAGCCTGGTTCCAGCCAAGAGCTTAAGACGGCTTGCTACCTAGACGAGCCATTTTGTGAATAGGATGAGTAGGTCCAGGAAGATGGACAAGAAGGGACTAGCCACATGGAGACAACCCTGGAGCAGAAGGGCATGCTCTGACTGACGAATCCCCAGCTGACCCAGATTTTTAATTCTCTGTTTTCCTTTTTGTTTTGGACTCTTAACACCCCGGACAGTGTAGAACTCCAGTGTGCCTTAACCAGACCGTGGCTGTGGTCCTATGAGTGGTTACATCCAACTGTCAGGGCCCCCAGCAGGAAAGTCATGCCTTTAAGTCCATGGGGGTGGGGGCACTTAGACGACCCAGTTACATTGCATAAGCCAGCTCTTTTTCAGTTAACAGACTAGTCCATAAGATTCATTCCTGCTGTGCTGGGGATGAACAGTTGGAAGGAGTGAGCATATGGAGTAGGAAGAGTATGCATAAAATTCCATCAGAGAATTTAATCATAGCTCTATAGAGTCACTTCCTGCTCAACCTTACAGGTAACATAGGGTCCAAAATTCTACAGCAATACTGTGTTTCTACTGTACAGAGGGCAAACCAGTGGAAGCTCATGCAAGGAAGAGGTCACTGTGCCTCTCTGTGTGCTGTGGGCAAAATACCCACGATAGCTCTTTCCACTGGAACACAAAGGATAAGAAGGGATGTGTTGTGAGCATGGCCATCAGGTGCATGAGCAGAGAGCTTTGGACAGTTCAACTAATTCTTAATTTGAAGTGAACCTAAGCTCAGATGTTTGAGGTTCACCCAGCACTATACAAATCCATATTACCTAATATGATGGAGAACACAAAAGCTCTAAAACTCTATTTTTACAATGCAAGAAGCAAACTAAATTACTAGCTGAAGTAAATAATTATGAAATTTGCAAATGTCCTGTAGACACTAGAAATGCTTTAGATGTATATGCCGAGATTCAGGAAACTGAATATTATGCCAATATTATGCTAGTGTACATCCAGTGAAAGTCAGTGGAGTCACATTGATATAAAACTGGAGGTTTGTGCTGGCGAATCAAGAACAGAATACCTGTATCATAACACTGGGCATATACACTAATAGACTGGGTAAACATTTAGACAATAAAATGAAAAACACATATTGAGCCAGATCCTAAGCTGCTGTAAATTGGCAGTTTAAAACAAAACAAAACAAAACCACCAAAAGAACAAACTCTAAAAGGGAAGAGAGCAGACTTCTTATAAAGACTTATCCTAGACCCGGTAAGACCTCCTATGACGCCGCCTCATAAAATGAAAAGGGAGAGTGCAGGGGAGGAAAAGGAAAGGAAAGAAACAATATACAGCAGAGTAACAATCACATAAGGCATATCGGGTTTTCCTTTTCATGAGACGTTTGCAGAAAGGAAATGTGGAAACATTTGGTGCCCCCAGGTCATTAACAGACATCAATTCACTTGCTCATCATCTCAGGGTCTCTTTTTTTTGTTGCACGTCCCTGGTGAATAACATGTTAAATGTGACCAGGCTGTCTCACCCACTGTATGTGGTAGCCAAGCTGGTCGAAAAGTAGCCCCTCTGGATTCAAGGGTGACCAGTAAAAATTTTGAAAAGTCCTGGACCCAAACCAACAAGCCACTTAAACTGTTGACAGGGTCCAAGTCCTCACTTAATGATTTGATAACTGCTGCTGCATGAGTGGAATGCACTGAGTAGCAGAAAATGTCAACCCAGCTGAGTCAAGCTACCTATTAATGTAAGAACAAATGGCATGTGACAGGGCCCAAGGGGCCTGAAGAGCAAACAAATAGTTTGTCCCTGTCCACTCTGAACTGAGTGGTATTCTTGACACAGGCCTCTAGACAAGTAGCATACTCAGCAAAGGGTCATTATCATTAGTGTCCCTGATCACATAAGAATCAGAGGCATCAGGAAGCTGAGTTTTCACTTGGTTACCAAGGAGAATTTCATAAGCCTTGAGGATTTTTCTTGATCCAAGATCCAGAAAAATACCCAGCCAAACAGTAAACTTGTTCAGAGACTGTCAAGGTCCAGCAAAGTGACATGGAAAAAGTCAACTTTTCTGCCGGGCTTCCAAAAACCTAGTGGGCCTGTTTATCTGATAAAAATAAATAGGAAAACATCCACAGTCTATTTTAATGATAAGACGTATGTTAATCTAGGCATAGCATGGGCAGTGGCTGTACAACATCCCCATCGCCGCTCCTCAGC